TCGAATAGGTGGGGGTACTCCAAAGAAGTCAGCCAAACGCGTCATTTGCGCTGTAACTTGCTGATTCGATTGAGTAGTGTTTTGTATTAGAGGATTTAGCACTGTACTCAAAGTTTGTGCCAACATTTGCACCATATCATGGTTGCTTTCGTCCATCTGTTGCCTCAAGACTGCTGTCGAGGCATTTGTAAGGCCATGGGCTACTTGGGACGTTCCTCCTAAGAGTTGGGTCCTATTTCTATTCGCCATGCCTACTCCAGAGCCTTGGAGTGGCGAAGAAGCACTCACGAAAGGGTCTGAAAAAGTGGACGCAGCATTCGTTAGGCTTGCCAATTCAGAAGTTGGCATACCATAGAATGGAATAAATCCTGGGGGAACCACAGGCCTTGTGCCTATATTTCCCCTTGGTGGGGGAGTTCCCAAAGGTATTCTGGGGCCTGTTAACGAAGTTATTGGCCCCGTGGTTGTGACCGACACTGCTGGTGTCGAACCAACGTTTGTCGCTTCACTCACGGTCATACTAACCGTTGCTCCCACACTCGTTTGTGGGATTTCGTTATTGTTTGGCGGATTCGCCATCTCTTCCCTTCTTCTGGCAGTATTATTATCGTTGGTGTATATTCTACCACTCCTCAATAACATACAACTCGAAAAGATGAGATTATTTTCAACAATCAACACACAGTCCCACCGGGTGTGCCAATTTGTTTACCTTGGGTTTTGGTAAACAACCGCTGATCCTCCAAATGGTTACTTATTTGGTTACTCGCAGGATCGATCAGATTGATCCTATGGACATAGGTTGATTTTGAAGTTTGATTAAGGTGGATAAGGCTTTAAATAAAAGGTTTCAAGTAAATTGCATAAAAGGAAAGACTTGGTAAAATAAACAAGGCTTTAAAGTAAAGGTTCGACAGGAATTTAAAGGAGAAAAGCAAGTAAAATGCTGGGAAAGTAAATGACTTTAATTGATAAAATTGGTGTTTCACACATACATTTCTCAACAATTCTTTCTCACACGCTAGGTACTTGAATCTAAATGAGTGACTATGTATAGAATTGTGAACACACGCGAGAAACTACATGTCTACTCCTATTTATACTAAAACATTCCAAGTAACCGTCGGGCAGTTATACTGCTTCGAGATCAATCCACTTGGCACGTTCTCCATGCTCGACGCTCCAGATCCTTGCACGTTTGCACGTAGTAACTGCTGGAAACCGTTTTCCCTCCAAAGCTTTGAATTTCAAACTGCTCCACTCTGGACCATCGAACACTTTCATCAAGAGACGTCTTCGACGAAAACTCCTTCGACGTCGAAGGCAACCAGCCTTCTTCCTTGGAAGAAATCTTCCAAGTATTTTGCCATCTTTCGACGGGCACTTCGACAGGCTTAGCCAGCCGAAAGCATCTTTCAGCTTTAATGGCTGATATCAATCAAAAACAAAGGTGTCGAATTTAGGAGCCAACACCATGTCATTATTTTTGAGGACTAGATTGAATGAGGAGTCAAAACAAGAGAATTTTCAAATATTAAGGGAAAAATCAAACTTTTTTTACAAGTTTTTTCTTAAAAAAAACACCCAAGTGGCAGGGGAGAATATGTATTAACCCAAAATAAAAAATTAGGCGCCTAAATTAGAGATATTACCTCAATTGGTTTAATATTCATGGTAATATCATGTTACATTGGGTGTATTTTGTAGTAGTGAATATTAAACATTTTCCTTGACTTAATTCGACTTGTGCCATCCTATTTGTAATGAAATCAACTCTTTATCTAATGATAAAATCCACGAATTCATAATTATGTCTTGAAATGATACTATGCTCATGTCTTCCTTCATTGTTCTACGATTATGCTTTTCTCCATCTCATGGGTTGTTGTTGGTTGCCATAATGTCTTTATAGCATAACAAATCTTACATCTTGTCACAAATTAGTTAATATGTGTTTGGAATTGCATTAGCCAACATATAAATACACATAAAATTAAAGCTTCAAGTGGTAGTTTATGTATTTTCACTTTATTTTTTGTCTTGGAGTGTGACAATTTATGTGCAAACACCTATTGATCTTTGTTAAAGATAACTATTCCATGAAACAATATGGTCCCAAATAGGATTCTTCTTACGATATAAATTAATATATAAATTCTTCATAACGTTAATTAAACCTTATTGATCTTTAACATAATCATCGCCTCACTCATTCGAGAAACGACCATGTTATGATATCTTGTGATAATGGTTTTGGAATGAAAATATTTTGAATTGCGGTACCCATTTGTTACCCATTTTCCTCTTAGTTATTGGTATCACCTAAATTCTTATTAATGTAAAGTAGTGGTTAATTGGTCATGAAGCTCATTTTCTAAATACTCTAAAAGGTTATTGTACCCATAGTTTGAGCGATTTTGGACCCCATCCAGTCTATACAACAATTTTTTTTCTTTTGAAAATATTTCAGAAAACCTATAAAGTCCACTCTCTGGGATTGAAAGTGAGATTATTAAGAAGAAAAATCAAATATCTATTGTATTACCAACTGTCGAGAATAAAATGATCAAAGTTCTCATCAGTAATCAAAGCAACCTAGAATCTGATAGGGTGATTTCTACCAATATCTGGCTTCTCTTCAGTCAAAACAATATTTGGATGATGATTAAATTGCACAATATGGGACACCTTAGCGAAAACTTTATAGAATTTTAATCTCTAATACACATTAAAAAGAAATCGATCCAACTTTTTAAAGACTCTTCTTTTCCCATCTTATCAAGGATTCATCGATGTAAACTTTGTTCCTACTGTAGTGACATCCATTAAACCGTCGTCATTTATCCAATTAATAAATTACAAGCATTTTCTGATTCCAGCTTGAATTCCGTCATCTCATTTGAATTAACAATCTCATTAAAGCCACCCATGACGAGTCAAGGTTCAATAAAAGTTGTTGCTAAATTTCGAATTTAAAACCATATTTCACTTTTTCCCAATTCTCACATCGTAACGTGAACCACCGTAAAAAGTCAAGGGCATGCATTTCTCTTTACTCTCACATGCAAAAAATGAAAATCAGTCTTGATAGATGAATTTTGACCCAAATATATTTCACATAAACCAAATGCCACAAGAGAACCTCTAGTTCCGTCAAATATAAAAATACGAATTTTTTTATAGTATTATATACAACAACTCCACTATAACGAGTATGTTAGAAAGTAATCATATTCACTTTTGTTGTTTCAGCAAAAATTGGTTAATACCATTTATAACTTATTTTTTCTTGAACACCCCTACAATTTTAAATAATGATTTTTGTTAAAATAATAACGATTAATAAAAATCTGGAAATAAAAAGGATAAGAAATTATTATTTTTGGATCATAAGCTCATAATGTGCAACGTGGACGACGTAATTCCTTCCATGTTTGATTTGTACTTTTATGTTGATATATTATTCTTTGTTTGAGAATTTGAATTTGACATAGTGAAGCTATATTTATCCTTTTAAGATGAATTATTATTGCCCTTATTAATAATTTTTTATTCTTTCCATATTAATCCAATCATACAAAGAATTATAAATGTCATCTATCAATTGATTGCAGCAAATATAATGACTCCATTTTTAATGTAGATGATTGTTGTCCTTTGTTAACTACCAATTTATTGAGTTCAAAAATCAATTTATTGAGTGTGTTGACTCGTTTGTCGGATTTAAAAGTCAGTCCACTTGGTTTTATGGGCAATTCACTCCTTCCAACAATTCTATTATATTTTTGCACCATCGCCACATATGGCTTCTATTGAAAGAATACAATCTTTTGAAAGATATCCATAACATTCACATTACATATAAATTATATAAAGGTCCTCCTATTTCACTTGATACAATTTTTCATTTATGACTTCACGACCAACAACCATCTTTGTAAGATAGTAACAAGTCTCGCAAGAGCAACTTTCAAAGTGTATAGATCACCTTTCATAGGATATCCTACCATTGATGCCAAAGCCCGCATAACTTTTGTCATAATAAACAAGGTCAAAACTCACAATCTTTCCCCACACTGTTGTTTTTTTTCCCGATATTTGCAATAACTACATTCAATTCTGGTGACCATTGATGCACAACTAAATAAAGATCATATAGCATCTATGATCTCTCATTTATTACTTTATTTGCCTTTCTCCAACTTGATCATATAGAAAAATTATCTTCCAAAGGACACCCAAACTTTTCATAATAATTTGCTTCACATGTAACATAGACATCAAACATTACTTTTGACATAATTCGACTTGTGCCATTATATTCACAACAAAATCAATTCTTTATCTGATAATAAAATTTACGAACCCATAATTATGTCCCGAAATCACATTATACTCTTCATTGTTTCAATGTTATGTTTTTCTCAATCTTTTGGGTTGTTATCGGTTACTATAATATCTTTCTAGTATAACAAGTCATAGATTGGTTTGTGTTTGGAATTGTGTTAACCAACATATAAACGCGCATAAAGTTAAAATTTCAAGTTATAGTTTATGGCCTTTCACGATATTTTCTGACTTAAAACGCGAGAATTCATTGCAAACACCTAACCAAAGTACAGTACAATGTTTTTATTTATTCATACTATAAAAAGAAAAATCCAAAGCAACCAACCCAAGCACATTAGATAACTCGACTACAACCGAACGACCAGGATCTAGCACAATAACTCGGCGCATGATATTGACACCTGGCTAAATTACGCTTCCATCTTGTCCCAATCAATAGCCGTAACACTAACATACACCGTCGCCTAAAGTGCTGTACTGTGCACACCAAATCATGATGTTCCAACTCCTAACCAAGCCAAAAAAATATTAAAAAATAAATAATTAATTAACGCAACACAACACATATATAAAGAAATTAAAAAAAATAAATCGTAAAATCATTATATCGCTTCACTCTCATTTTCCCTTTCTCTCTGTGGAAGAAGAAGATGGTTTCAACGAGACGCAACAGTGGTGGCGGATCTTTCCCCGCCGCTAAAAGACCTTCTTCATCTTCCGATGACAAACCTCCTTCTCCTTCACCTAAGCGCCAGAAGGTTTTCATCGTTCTCAATCTTTAGCGTTTTTTCTTCCACTACTTGTCTCACTTTTCCTCGATTCGATTTTCTGATTGATTGTTTTTCTCTCAGCCTGACAATGGTGCTGCTGCTGCTTCCTCGGAGAAACCGGTATCGATATCCCCGACGGAGAATTCCAAGGATTTGCGTACTCCCGAGCCTCCCGCCGATCCAGGAGAATGTGCTCCCTCCGATGCTCAGATCGAAGAACCGGCAAATACCGATGATAAAATCGATGCAACACCGCCGATCGCTGACGGTGCGTTTTCACTACTCACACTTTTCAATTTTCCGTTTCTTGTATTGTTATTATTATTAGTTTTTTATTTTTTTTATTTTTTTATGTCAAAATGAAAAGGTTCTTCGCCGACTCTGGTAGCTGATAAACCTAGGGCTTCGTTCTCTTCTTGGAGTATATATCAGAAACAAAATCCGATTCTCGAGTCTTCAGCTCCCTGGTGTCGGCTTCTGTCCCAGTCTGCTCAGGTGATTCATTCATTTCATTCATTCCTGATTGATTGTATTAGTTGAATACTTTTGAGGAGCAATTCAAAATGTTTTTTTTTTTGATTACTGCAGCATCCAAATGTTTCCATTTCCATACCCAACTTCACTATTGGCTCAAGTAGAAATTGCAACTTTCATTTGAAGGATCATACAATAAGTGGGAATTTATGTAAAATCAAACACACACAGGTATATCTCAGGAGTAATGTTAGTTTTTCGTGACAGGTTTTTTTTCTTCGTGTGTGGTATCGTTAGTGTTGTCGATGGTGGAGAGACAAAATCCCGCCATATGGCGCCGCAAGGTGCGTTATAGTGGATTATGGCGGAAAAACCCGCAATATCAGCTGATATTTACCATTGTGGCCGGTCCAAAAACTGCCATGTATTCCGCCATGGCCCTACCTATTTGATAGGGTTATTGTTAATATGGTTAGGCTTTTCCAAGTACACACCTCAGCAATTGATACTCGACTATTTCTGTTTATTGTTTCGAAATTTTATGGGCCCTATAAAGTTTCACATGGAAATGTGTGCCTGGTTGCCTTCTTTCCTTTTTTTTTCTTTCTAGTTGTTTGGGGTGAATATCTTAGATATGTATGTGCAGTATGATTACTGTTGTTTCTCGAAATGATCAGCGCGAGGGAGGTGATGTGGCTGTGCTAGAAAGTACGGGTAGCAAAGGATCTGTGCTAGTCAATGGGACACTTGTCAAGAAGAACACCTGCTGTGCGCTTAACTCGGGTGATGAGGTGGTTTTTGGCTTGCATGGAAATCATTCTTATGTATCCTTTTGTTTATTTATGAGAAATGCTAACATGCGCTCTTAGGCATTTGTTACTGTACTAAAGATAGAAACTTTGTATTGGAAATTGTGCATTTCATTTCTTAAAATGTTAAAATTTGTTTTTTTACTAGACATAATTACTATTTGTGAAATCCTTAATTTGTGTCCTTTTTTAAATGCTTTCCTTCATATAAATGCTCTTCGTTCATCCTTCCATTCTTTTTAATGGGGAATTATCGTTCTCAAGTATTATATATATGTCTGTGTGTCTCTCTCTCTTTCTCCAAGGGTTTCCTTGATTTATATTAATCTAGATTTTTCAGCAAGTAAACACTGAGGTTGCAGTTAAGGGTGCAGAAGTTCAGAGTGGCGTTGGTAAATTTATGCAGCTTGAAAGGAGAAGCGGAGACCCTTCAGCCGTGGCTGGGGCTTCTATCTTGGCTTCTCTTTCTAACCTCAGACAAGATCTTAAAAGATGGAAATCTCCATCTCACACTGCCAGTAAGCCTCACCAGGGTGCTGATGTTTCTATTCATACTGTTCTCCCTGATGGTACAGAAGTTGAGCTTGATGGCCTGGAAGGCAACTCAACTCCAAATATAGGAACTGATAAAGCTGCTGATGCCGAGGCTAGCAACAAGGACTCTCCTATGGATTACGATCCAGAGGACGCAGGCACAGAGCCAGGCAATGTAAAGTTCTCTGGGGTGAATGATAAGCTAAGGCCTTTATTCAGGATTCTAGCTGGATCTACTACTTGTAAACTGAAATTGAGCAAAAGTATCTGTAAACAGGTATTGGAAGAAAGAAATGGGGTGGAGGACACACAAGCTGCATCGATTTCGGGTACATCTGTTCGTAGTGCTGTTTTCAAAGAAGATGCTCATGCTGCAGTACTGGATGGAAAAGAACTAGAAGTGTCCTTTGACAGCTTCCCATACTATTTAAGGTATAACTAGTCCATTCCTCAATGACTTTCATGGAGTTTCCGGCTTTGTTTTGATATTGTTCATATTTGGTGTTCTAAATGTCATTTTTTGTTATTTGTATTACTGCTGTATTTTATGCTTTTTTTTTTTATTTAAAATTTTTGTTTACATCCAAATAAAAATGGTTTTTATGTTATAGTTTATGTACATTTGTTTGTTTTTCGGATCAAATAATGTGCTACAAAAATAATTTTATTTCACAGTGCATTCTCTAGAATGTCAATAATTGTGAGTCACTTTTATGTTACAACAAGAAGGGGTGCTTTGGTACAACAGTAGGAGTTGCCGCCTTGCTCCTAGGTCACAGTTTTGAGTTTTAAAATTAGGCTGTTACAAATGCATGCTAGGGCCGCCTCTACTAGGGCCACAATGAGTCACATCCTTCTTTGAACCTCTCCTACATGAGCTAGATATTTATTTTAGAATTAGGTTGCCAACTAATTTGGTATATTAATTTGAAATAACCGAGTCAAAATTTTTCTAAAAATAGAAGATGATATCAAATATTAGACAGTAATTTAGTTATACCATTTGAATTTCTAGTAAGTGGATTTTGACCATTATAGATCTTAATTATTTTATAATAACTTCAGACAAAGTGGTATTAAATTTAAGTCAGATGTGGCAATGACATTAATAACAATATAAGCCTTTTATTAGTAGGCCTAGTCAGACACATGAATTAAACGACATAATTTCGTACACAACTAATCAATCTTTCTATTAAATTCTAACCCAACCTTTTTTTTCTCCCTCTTCCAAGCATCTGTTTTTCATTTTGAAGTCTGTAATCAATCACCTTCACAAGGCCTTCTATCAAACCCATTTTATTGGGTACAACTTGACTGACCACTAATCAGCCCAAAAACCCTGCCTCCTTTTTGGATTTAGCCAGTATATTTACTAGATACAGACACAAGACTTTTCTCATTTTTGGAGTACACGTGTGTGATCAGCGAGGATGCCAACTAAATAAACAACCAATGAGATGATGTAATGTTGCCAATCTCTCCTCAAGCAGTAGGAAAAATGATAGTTAATTGATGAAGAAACAACAAGCATATGAAAAAGAATGCCAAATGTCTTATTTTGTGAATTGAAAGAGAATACCAAATGGTCTTATAGAGGGAGCTTCTTAATTAATAGTATAATAAATACTAGATTCTCTTGTATTCTATATCTATATATTGCAATGTTAATATAAAAGAGCCTAAAAAGTAAAAACATGTCAACTCTGGTATCCTTTTTTCTCTCTCTTCAATTAAAAAATATAGTTATACCAAACATGCCACCCTCCCCCTCCCCTATTAAAAAATATAGCTTTGTATGTGCATGTCCCCCCTCCCCTCAGCCAATGTCTTTTTTCTAGGCCTTGGTAGTGGCTTAACATTTGTCTTTTGATTTTGAACAAGCGATAATGTGGAGTCACAATTGTGTTGCTAGTTTTTCAAGCTCATGTAACCAATGTATCTCACGGTGCAATCTGTTCAAAACATTGATTTTAAAAATATTTATTAAATTAAAGTTTCTGAGATATTTTTACAGCAAGTGTAATATCATTCTTTATTTGTGTGATTTATTTGACTCCATGCATATTGCTTGATGTCATTCTTATTTAACTTCGTTGCTGATTATCTTTTTGTAGCGAGAATACAAAAAATGTCCTGATTGCAGCTTGTTTTATACACCTGAAGCATAAAGAGCATGCAAAGTACACCACAGATCTCACCACCGTAAATCCCCGTATTCTACTTTCAGGACCTGCAGGTTTGTAGTTATTTGCACCACTGCTCTTCTACCTCTCTCACTCAGTACATGCAATTTCAATTTGGTTTTTGCCTCCTTTATCATCAACTCATTTCCCCCCTCATTCTATAATTTGTTTTTGCAGGGTCAGAAATATATCAGGAGATGCTTGTAAAAGCACTTGCGAAATACTTCGGTGCTAAATTGCTCATATTCGATAGCCAGTTGCTTTTGGGTGTAAGATTAAGTTTCCTTAGTCTGATATTTGGATGAATCCTTGCATACTTTTTTCTTCAATGTCTCTTTTAAGTTTTCTTTTTACTAATAATTTTGATAATGAATCTTTATTTGTTGTGTTAATAGGGTTTATCTTCTAAGGAAGCCGAGCTTCTCAAAGATGGATTTACTGCCGATAAATCTTGCAGCTGCCCCAAACAAAGCCCTACAGCCATTGACACTGCTAAGAGCATGGATCCACCAGCTAGTGAAACAGATGCTCCTAGCTCTTCAAATGCACCTACTCCACATGGACTTGAATCTCAAGCTAAGTTGGAAACTGATAATGTACCATCTACATCTGGAACAGCTAAAAATTGCTTGTTTAAACTAGGTATGTGCTCTTCTGTTTTTATTGCATCTTAGGAAGCATTAGTTTTATCTCAAAGTATTCACATTTATCATATGATAATAATCCTGCAGGCGACCGGGTTAAGTATAGTTCATCTTCTGGGTGTTTGTATCAGACATCTTCTTCAAGGTACAAGTTCGTAGTAAATTGCTCTGAATCGGTTTCTGTTTTTCATCAACATGCATTGCTGTCTACATCTTTCTGCAAATTATCAGATAGTATATGCCCAGTTTGGACTATCTTTTGTTTAATGAGAGCTATTCAAGTGAGATAAACATTTGATTCTTGACGTACCTATTTGCCTTTATAAATTTATGGGTGCTTATGGAGAAGATAAATGAAAAAACTTCTAAAAACTGAGGAGCAGAAGTTAATATCCACGTAAGAAACTGTTATTTAGATGACTTTGTTAGGTACTAATGTTGTCAAACATGTAATTTGGACTATGATTTGGAGGAGGATGAAAAATTGTAACTAGGAGGATTGTATGTATCACGGATCATAAGAACCTACCGAACAGCAAAATTATATTATATATATAAAAAGAAAAAACATAATTTATAGTTGCATCGTACATTTTTATATATTAAATGATTTGGATTGGCCCTTTTGAGACATAGTAAACAAAGACAAGAGTGGGGTCAAAGTATTTGGGCCATACAGCCCATTTCTCTCTTCCTCAGAAACAAATTAATCAATAGAAAAATATATAAAAATAACGCGGGCCAGGCCCAGGATTTCTTCTCCTCTTCAGCAGGAAAACCTAGATGCACATTTTATTGTGCCACACCAGAGAGAGGGCACTGTAGATAGATCTTAGGTCTCATAACTGTGACCAGAGAAGCACTTTGCACACAGCTTTGCACAAATGACAGCTAGTATAGAGAGGGAGGGAAAGGCAGCATTTGCACAATAAAATATCTATGCTAAGCACACAGCGATGTGGAGATCCTACAATTTTGCAATCTAGTGCAACAATTCCATTTGAGTCAGCTCCCTTCAACCACCATAAACTTTAGAGTCGTACAACCTTGCATCCCAACATGCGATTCTGTCAGCGCTGGTTATTGCAAGGTCATTTCATTTGTTTTATATTTTTTTATTAGTGCTTATTGAGAAGTTACCCAAAGTAGCTCCTAGTAGTGTATACTGGGGTCGTCTATTTAGTGGAACTTCTCTTTACTAAAAGTGAAGAGTTCTAGCACATTTCTCTTACCCAATCCAATTTGGAGGCTTTAACGAATGATGTATAGGAGACCCTGTTTGAAAAAGCTTCTGACTTGTATGAAAAGTCATCTTAGTAAAATTAAGCATTTGTTTTACAAGTACTTACATATAAGATATTTTCTCAATCAAAGAGGAAATTAGGAGAAACTCTGCATAAGATTTGTAGAAGTTGTTACGAAGATCTTATGAAAATAAGAGGAGAATTTTTATGGACATAATGGAAGTAAAGTATATGAAACATGAATATTAAATTGTTTATAGTGGTGAGGAGAAGTCTTCCCGGCTGCCCCGAGGGAGAAGGTTCAGTGTCCAGAGAGGGAGAAGGTTCAGTTGTCCAGAGAGGTAGAAGGTTCAGTTGTCCAGAGAGGTTCTTTGTGCCATCTGGTCTAACATCTCAAATCGGGAGTGTGAAAGAAATGTGGCTATAGCCCAAAATCAGAAACACATGTTATCTTATTTAAAACATAGACAATCACTAAAATTACACATGGCTTCAATAATATGCTGACAGGCTGTGTAAAAGTGAATATCTCCCTGTGAAGAGTAGTGGCCACAAGGGCTGTGATTTTCCCAGACAGTGGTTGTGAGTTCTTGCAAATGCTCAGTGGTTTTGGCTGTGACTTCTTGCAAATGCTCAGTGGCTTTGGCTGCGATTAAAATTCATTTCCCTTCTTTTTTTGTCGGTAGTCATACAAATGTAGGGCAAGAAGTATTGATAGGAAAACTTTTGTATTCATCTATGTTAACTTTGGCTTAAATGATATTTCCAGATTGTGTAATTTAGAAAACTATAGTTGCTTTATTTATATCCCCTTCATTAGATTTTTCTCCTTTTTTAGCAGAATGTAGGTCCCATATTCTTTTCTGTTTAGTTCCTCCATACTATGTCTTGTAAATCCCATTTTTCCCAGAAACATTTCCTACATATAAACAAATGCATTTGTTTTTATTTTCGGTTATAATTATGCTTAGCAATTACATGTACAGGGGTCCATCTAATGGAAGTCGAGGGAAAGTTGTCTTAATTTTTGATGATAATCCCTTGTCCAAAATTGGTGTAAGATTTGATAAACCTATACCTGATGGAGTTGATCTTGGAGGTGCCTGTGAGGGAGGTCAAGGTTTTTTCTGCAATGGTAATGCCCTACCTTTCTAAGAAACAACAAATATATTCCTCTTGCTATATATTCTCGGAGCATTATCTTGGTCCTAGATCTTGAAGTTGTCCTTTTCTCTTTTCAGTCACTGATCTTCGATTGGAAAACAGTGGCATTGATGAACTGGACAAATTACTGATTAATACGTTGTTTGAGGTTTCCTTTTACTCTGATCTAGTAATACCTCCTATAACAACATTGTACTTTGTTTTAATCTTGCAATAAGAATTTATACATCTCTGTTTCAGGTTGTAACTAGTGAGAGTAGAAATTCACCGTTCATTCTGTTCATGAAAGAAGCAGAAAAGTCTATAGTAGGAAATGGGGATCCATACTCATTTAAAAGTAAGCTTGAAAAGCTTCCTGACAATGTGGTGGTAATAGGTTCACACACTCACACCGACAGTCGAAAGGAGAAGGTAATCATTATGTTTTAAGGGTAACTATTTTGTAATGCTAAAATGCCGTTTGCTTTGAGGCATTGAAACTTAAATACACAAAAAAAAACGCAATTGCATAAAATGATTTAAAAACCCATGGCTTGATAAACTGAACAATGTTTTATATATCCATGTCATTTGGTTTAGGTACATGAAGGCTTGATGAAATTATGACTCACTCCGAGTCCACAAGTTTGTATTTTTAGTTGGTGTGGGCTTTATGTAGCTGATTTTTATTTTATTAATTGAGAAACACAAAAAGATGCGTGTAATAGTTGAAATGAGATATGGCATTTTAGCATTTCAAACTATTTAGATACTACATGGATATCCTAAATATATGGTCCTTTGCATTTCCATTTCCATTTCCTCCTTGGTTTAAATAAACATGTGTAAGCAACTGTATGTCTAATACATGACTATTTTCCCTTGCAGTCACATCCCGGGGGTTTGCTCTTTACAAAGTTTGGCAGCAATCAGACTGCCCTTCTTGACTTGGCTTTCCCGGTACAAACTATATCTCCTTAATTAGATCAGTCTTTTATTGGGATGAATGAGACATGAATTACCTACACATGCTTATCTTTTGTTTGTCTTGTTACACGCAACCCAAAATAAGTTCTTTCTGGCTTTCTCAGCTATAATAACATCTCATCTCGTTTTTTCCAGGATAGTTTCGGAAGATTACATGACAGGGGGAAAGAAGTCCCAAAACCAAACAAAACTTTGACTAAGCTATTTCCAAATAAAGTAACAATTCACATGCCACAGGTTTGTACAGTGAATTGCATTTCATTAGTTTTCCTCTCTTTTTTCTATTGTAAAAAAGCTGCACAGCCAAAACTAAGTGAAAACCACTAGACCAAACTGATTATTCCACAAGTTTAAGCTGTTCAGTTAAACTTGGAAGTACACAAATGGTTTATATTTATTGAGTCCCCTCATACCTTGGGCTCGAAGCATTGATAATGCACGAGCCCATAGTTAGTCTTGAAACTTCACTTTGATTCTATAGATGAGGGGGCCACATTTCAAGGATTGAACTCACCAAACCTTAGCACTAATAAAAGCTTTTATTACGTCAATGGTTGTCATGTTATCTTCCCTTTTATAGGAGGAGGCGCTTCTAGCATCATGGAAACAACAACTTGATCGAGATGTAGAAACTCTTAAAATTAAAGGAAATTTGCACCATTTGCGCACTGTAAGTAACTTTGTGCAATTTTCAATTTGATTCAAACATGCATTTTTATGACTTGTACTTCATATTAGGTGTCCACAAACATTGCTTTGGCTTATATTAAATGACACTTTTCTTAAGATCCATTTCCATTATGCATCCAAGCTATAATCTTGGAACTAGGACTTTCAGTAATGTATATATTCTTTGAACATGTTTTGATTCTGAAATATCCAATGCATTTCGGTTTATAAGGCTACAATTTGGTTGTCCATGCCTGGCTCTTTGTGGGCTATGATTTTTCGAGGCCTGCCCGATTTACATTTAATATTCATTAAATTGAAGATATAATTTTTTTTATTTGAAAAAGTTATAAAAAATAATAGGACATCATACACACTCTTAGAATGTGTGATTGGGCCTAACTCGACCCTACAAAACCGGGTTAAAAACCGGCTTGTAAGGTGAGGATTACTCTCACTTATAAAGTCATGTTCAGGCCATATATTGTCCGATGTGGGACTCTTAACACCCCCTCTCACGTCCAGGAATTAGGGCTGGAGCGTGGAACTAAATGGTGGGTGGCCCAATGGATCTTAGATGAGGCTCTGATACCATCTTAGAATGTGTGATTGGGCCTAACTCGACCCTACAAAACTGGCTATAACCGGCTTGTAAGGTGAGGATTACTCCCACTTACAAAGTCATGTTCAGGCCATATATTGTCCGATGTGGGACTCTTAACACCCCCTCTCACGCCCAGGAATTGCGTCTGGAGCGTGGAACTGAATGGTGGGTGGCCCAATGGATCTTAGATGAGGCTCTGATACCATCTTAGAATGTGTGATTTGGCCTAACTCGACCCTACAAAACCGGCTTGTAAGGTGAGGATTACTCCCACTTATAAAGTTATGTTCAGGCCATATATTGTCCGATGTGGGACTCTCTCATGCCCAGGAATTAGGGTTGGAGCGTGGAACTAAATGGTGGGTGGCCCAATGGATCTTAGATGAGGCTCTGATACCATCTTAGAATGTATGATTGGGCCTAACTCGATCCTACAAAACCGGCTATAACCGGATTGTAAAAGGTGAGGATCACTCCCACTTACAAAGTAATGTTTAGGCCATATATTGTCCGATATGAGATTATTAACACACACCATACACTTTTTCACCTAACTTAAGTATGAGAAATAATATATGATAGTTAAAAGACTAAATCATACTTTGATAAACAAAATACAGATACTTCACAATTTCATTACAACTAGTACACCAACTCTGATAGACAACTAATAAAAATACTAGTACAAAAATGTAAATAATAACAGTTTTAATGATTGAATTCTTTGAAGTGGAAATTAACTTCATAAAAATAATAATTTGTTTCTATTATTCTTGATTCTGTGAGTGCACTCGCGATTCTTATAACCATGGGAGTCATTAATAGCCTTTTGTCAGTTATCATTCTGTTTCGGTATCATTTGTTTCCTTATTTCATTATGTTCTAACTTCAATGATTCCACATTCCATATTTGATCATGTTTAGTTTGTAGTTTAACTGTTTAATGGTTTATTAATTATAATTGCAGTCAAGGTACTCTTTATCACAATTTAACAATTTTTTTTGTAGGTTTTAAGCCGTAGTGGGATGGAATCTGAAGAACTCGAGGCCTTGTCTGTCAAGGATTTGACACTTACAAATGAAAGTATGTTTTGCCAAAGTGCTTAAGGATTTGCTGCTGAAATCTCTGCTATATCATTTTTGCTATATTGCAGATTCAGAGAAGATTGTTGGTTGGGCTTTAAGCCACCATCTGATGCAGAATTCTGAAGTTGACGCTGATGCAAAGCTTGTGCTGTCTTGTGAGAGGTAATTATTAGCTTGTGCTTCCGTGTGCTTATTATTTGAAATATTATGCAATCTTCACAAATTTGTTAATTATTAATTATTCTTTCGATAAAAAATATTTATTTTACCAGCATCCAGTATGGAATTGGGATCTTACAGGCTATCCAAAATGAGTCGAAGAGCCTAAAGAAGTCTCTTAAGGTGATTGTTGTGAACTTTTTCTGCTTTGTTTGTTGGAAAGTGTCTTCTGGTAGTTTTTTTTACCACTCATTATTATTGATTGCGAGTATAAGACCATGTCGGTTAGCCAAAAGTCCACCATGGTACTGTCATCCTTCACAACTTGGCCATGGCGGTGGTGGTAGTGAATAAATTCTGCCACAGCAATCTGTCATGGCCAATATTTTAACAACACTGTTATTATCTTTCTGCGTTGAAGTAATTCTACCGGAAAAGTTTAACCGACTTTTTTCACAAATACTGTATTTTGAATCATCCTGCTTGTGTTTTTGTGAAATCAGGACGTTGTAACAGAAAACGAATTTGAAAAGAGGCTTTTGGGTGATGTTATTCCACCTAGTGACATTGGTGTTACTTTTGATGATATTGGAGCTCTAGAAAATGTTAAGGATACATTGAAGGAATTGGTGATGCTTCCTTTACAGAGGCCTGAGCTTTTTTGCAAGGGGCAGTTAACCAAGGTTTTCTTTTACTGATTGATATACATTCTATTCGTTTTACTACTATACGTCGTTAAACAGTTTTGAGTTAGACATCATTATTAATGTTCTGTCCCCTTCCTTCTCTTTTACTATTCTATTGTGTTCATGACATTTTTGAGGGAATTAATCTTTCTGGTTCCAAGTGGCGGATGGAAAAAGAAAAGCGATATCATATATCTGACCTATATCTTGTAAACTGCAAGCTAGTTCTACAAAGCTTATGCCATGTGGGTTCAGGGAGGAGGATTGAAATCCATTGCAGATTTATGGGCTGTAAAACAAAACATTATAATATATTGTCATACAATGGCTGTTGTTACAACAGCAGGTTGTTCCTGTGCTTGAGGCAACACTCTTAACTGTTGCTTCAACGCTACCCTTTATTTTGATTCATCACTGTCATAAACTGCTCTTCAAAATGAACATCCAAATACTGTTCATTTTGATTTAATTTTGATTTACCTATTGTGCAGCCATGCAAGGGCATTCTATTATTTGGTCCCCCGGGAACAGGTAAGACAATGCTTGCCAAGGCAGTTGCTACCGACGCCGGTGCAAACTTCATCAATATTTCCATGTCAAGCATCACATCTAAGGTTAGATTTGCTTCACTGTGTTCATTTTACTCTTTTTCATCAATTTACTGTTCATTGTAACTAGCGGTCTCCCATTTTCCTTCAGTGGTTTGGTGAGGGTGAAAAATATGTCAAAGCCGTTTTCTCCCTGGCAAGTAAAATTGCTCCCAGTGTGATATTTGTTGATGAAGTAAGATTTTTCATAAAATGCTACTGGTTTGTATTAACTCATCCCTTAAAAAATAGATCACAGAGAAAACTAGCATGGTTTCTTGTATAGGTTGATAGCATGTTGGGCCGGAGGGAAAATCCAGGGGAGCACGAGGCCATGCGAAAGATGAAAAATGAATTCATGGTGAACTGGGATGGCTTACGTACAAAGGATACTGAAAGAGTTCTTGTGCTCGCAGCCACCAACAGACCTTATGACCTTGACGAGGCTGTCATACGAAGGCTGCCTCGGAGGTGAGTTCATTCACACTTTAGTTTGATCTTTTTCCTTTATTTTTTTGAGATATTGAAGTTTTCTTGATCTTCGATCTTCTCTCCAGACTAATGGTAAATTTACCAGATGCTCCAAATAGAGCAAAAATATTAAAAGTTATACTGGCAAAAGAAGATCTGTCTTCTGATGTCGATCTGAGTGCAATAGCAAGTATGACTGACGGATATTCTGGAAGTGATCTTAAGGTTGGGTGTTCTTTTTCCTTTTACTCTATACTTATTAAGAATAAGGTTATCTGTGCCTTCATGCTTTCTCTTCTATTGCAGAACTTATGTGTAACTGCGGCACACCGTCCTATTAAAGAGATATTAGAAAAGGAAAAAAAGGTTGGTTCTTTAGAATGGTGTATTAACATCATGCTAGGTACTGAGTATGTCATGGTTCTTTTGCATGAATTACTCATAGTGCCGTAACATGTTTTATGCATGACAGGATCTTGCTGCGGCTCTAGAAGAAGGTAAACCCGCACCTGCATTACGTGGAAGTGATGACATCCGATCTTTAAATATGGAAGATTTTAAACATGCTCACCAACAGGTACTTGTGAAAGGAACCTTTTTTACAATCTCCCTCCAGTTCTGTATAACTCCAACACAAAAGTAACTTTAAATGTCTTATTGAATCAGGTATGTGCAAGTGTTTCTTCTGAATCCGTTAATATGACGGAGCTTTTACAATGGAATGAACTATACGGGGAAGGTGGTTCAAGAGTTAAGAAAGCACTAAGCTATTTCATGTGAGTTTATCATCTGTACAAAATGTTCCCCCATCATTGGCTCCTGCAAAAGCAGGCATGTGTATTTGTAGTTTTGCTCAACTGTTGAGACTTGCAGGGCTTGCAGCTGAGCCATTTCGGTTGTAAAATGAAATATAGGTTTTCTAAGTTTTTTTTACCTTTGGGATGGCGGGTTTTGAAAGGAGTAGTGGAGCTTTAGTTAAATTTGGCAAAGGCTTTACTTATTTTTATTTTTGTTCCTCATCCCCCTGGACACTAATGCAGATGACACGCTGAATGTTTTCAAGTATAAGTGTCACAAGAAAAGGAACAGTCATATATCCCTGTGAAAATATTTATTGTTCATTCCTAATGGAATTTGTAGAAACAATAAGCATTTATTTAGTTCATGACTATATATCTGCTAGTAGTTGACTTATTAATGCAAGTTGCTGACGTTTCACACTGAAAATATTGAAATAAATGAATGAAGAAACCTGGAGATATGATCTTTAGACTTGAGTCACAATAAAATCATCTTCACAGCATATTTGAGATTTTTATTTGCATTATAGAAATAGTGGCAAGATATGACGTGCTCACAGTGCATGTCATATTTTCTTATATTTAAATAGGTTTTTGAAAAACTAAAAGCTTTGTATTTGTATATCTCTGATTTTGTTAGTTTATAATTAGATCTTTTGAATTAAAATACTTTTAATTAAAAGTGTAGTAATCTGATTTAACAATTTCTTAATCAAGGATTTGATTTTTAAGTTTTTTAGGGAACATTTTTCTTGTATTGTTGCTGGCTGGCTGACGCTCTTCCTAGAATGAAACAAACTGCATTTTGACTTTCAAACAATTTGTAGTTTTAGAAAATACAATGAGATGACAAACTCTCTTATGAATCACAGAGCAGGACAGTTTGTATTGTTTTTTAATGTAAAATTAGTGAATGATCTTCCGATTCTAAATGTTGGAATATTTGTAGATCATGGGAAGGAAAGTGTCTTTCATTAGCTCTCCAACAAATATGTGAGAATAGGGGGACAATTCTTTCACTTAGATTGGAGAAGCGGTTTACGCTTTTCAACTTTGACCAAAATTGGCTATTTCAAGGATGGGGAATGTTCTTTCCACCATTCTATGCTCTTCCACACTACTGTGAAATCTCACAAATAGCTATAGTGTCTTGGAGCTTTTTTACTCTTCAACGTAAATTTGTGAATTACTTTTACTTTTGCAAAAAATTAATCCAGAGATACATACAATTTTTTTTGTCCTAGAGGTCATTTTCCTTCTATGTATACGTTGATTATATTGTTTGGCTTGTGGTGATTATCTTTAATGTCTTCCTTTTAATTTGCATCATTTGTAGTTACATCTTTTCCAATTTAGACAATAAGCTAGAACTTACCAAAATTCGAGTTATTGGTTAATGGTTATGAACTTTTCAGTCAGGTCTTATTATTGACATTATGTGTTCTGCCATATTTTTCAATTGATAATTGTGAAAGCAACAATAACCTTTGCAAGATGATTTTGTTCCTTCCAGTTTGGCAGTGTTTGTGTGAGACTAGAGGCATTTTGAGGGTTTCAAGGGTATGGTGGACAGATTATGGGGGAAAAGAGCATCCATCTTTAAGGACACTCCATTAGCCACATATTGAGGAGGTAAACTAGAAATAGGTAAAGGTACGATATAAGCTTCGGTCAGGTGACTTGAACTTGCACTCATTGGTCTTTTTATTGACCTTTCATAACACCTTTTGGCTGATCAAATCATAAGTTTCCTTTTAGGAACTGTTATGGACTGGTCCGACAGTTTGACTAAGTCCGATCTAAAAGATCTCTTTGGGTATAGTTCGCACGACCACGACCCGGATCGCCCGCACGACCTTCTTCTGTCGGGCAACGATGATCGTTGTCCTTCAGATTCGCCACTGGTCCAAGATGATCGACGAGCATCCTCTCTGTCTGCTCCATTTCAACGTCGTGCAGACCACTATGAACCCACCAGAGAGATGCTCGTAATTAGTCTCTTCCTCGAAACCAACAGTCAGTTATGGGCAAATCCGTCCGGTTTGATCAAGTCCTGGTAGTTATCTGATTTTCCGGACCCACATATCTAGGCGGGAAATCAGGAACCAATGGCCACGCACAAGAAATATTATATAAACCCTCACACCTGTGAGGGTCAGGTATCACATATTCACTACTCACTATCTGATATTTTCGCTTGTACCTCCCTGTTTTTGCTCTTGATCGTTGGAGTACCTTGCAGGTACAATCCCTTTTTCGCCTCAACTTACAGTTCGACTGCAGGTCATCCTTCGGTTGTTCACCAGGTTCTGATCAACCGGCAAGATTAGTGGCGCCGTCTGTGGAAAATTACTCTCCCCATCTTTTTTCCTTCGGAACTTAAGATCAAAGTAACTCTTTCAAGATTCATCTCTCCAATCATGGTCGACCATGATGATCTTCACTTGTCCGAAAAGACCATTCTTTTCCCTGTTCGCAAAACCGACGGGAGTCAGGAACACCCCCATCTCGAGGACAACTTGGGCTTCCAAGACGGACAAACCGCATCTCCAGATTCTACGAATGTCCAGCGCGGCGACGACCAATTCTTAGATAAAGAGCATCCCAAGAACCTTACTGAGGAACTTCCAGTAGTCATACAACCATTTCATATCCCTCTCAACGTCGATTCGGCCATGACAACACTGTTCGCTGCTATCAATCAGACCAACGTTCTCATTCTGCAACAAAATTAAAGGATAGGGGCCTGGGAGAACATGCGGTCAAGATCTCCTCCTCGGAGAGCCCGACGACAAAACTCTCCTAATGCATCGCACTCAGGCGTGGCCCACTGCCCAAAAAGGAGAGGCGCGATGTTTCTTTCTTCAAGAAATGCAATCGAACACCTCCTTCCAGAGATCAAGACTCCCATTCGTTCAAGAAGAGGAAGGACAATAAGCAAATCAACCGCGCTCGACTGCCTTCTTCTGAGCCAAAGCAAAAACGAAGGAGCCCTTCCTCTCGACGAGATCGTGACGACCGACAGGGGAGAAACTATCACTCTCCTTCTTCATCTCCCGTCGATAGCGAGGATGATGAGCCCCGTGGCCCACTATCGAGAGAGAATACTGAAGCTCTACTTCCTATCGGCCTAGAGAAACCACCCACTTTAGGAACTTACGACGGAACAACAGACCCTGATGAGCAAATCGAGAACATCGATGACCTCCTCGACTATAGAGGGGTTCAAGGGAGCCTTAAATGCAGACTCTTCCCAACCACTCTCAGGAAGGGGGCGATGGCATGGTACAAGAGTCTGCCTGATGAATCCATCACCTCTTAGAAATAACTTGGGAGGATATTTTCAAGGCATTTCATTGCCTCCTCTCGACACCCTAAATCAGAGCTTCGCTCGAAGCGATCATACAAGGCAGGGATGAGTCTCTGTGTGCATATATTGAACGCTTTAATAAAGAAGCGGTCCAGGTCCTGACAACGAACAATATGAATAAGTACCTCCTCGAGCGCGGGCTCCGTCCCCGCAATGATTTTACCAAGGCTATGGGCATAGAAACACCAACCATGCTCGATTATCTTATCCTAAAATCCCAGACATATATACAATACGAGGAGAAGGAAGCGACCAACAGCGCCCGAGAATTTAGGCACAAAGAGAGTGTCAAATCCTCAAAGAACGATGAACCCTTGACATCCCATCGAAACGGGAAGATAAAACCCGTGATCCCAAAGACTATAAGGGGTCGGCCGATCGTTTCCACGACTACACCCCTCTCACGACCTCAAGGGAGCATATTCTTTTCGAATGCGCTAATTCTGAATTTAAGTAAAGCTGAGGTGCACTTCCTCCGATAAACACCGTTTAAGCCAGGAACCGACAAAAGAAAGTACTGCAGATTCCACAAGAGTCATGGCCACAATATGGAATATTGCATTCATCTCAAGGATGCAATCGGAATGCTGATCAAAGACGGGGATCTCAAGTAGTACAAGAAGAAGGAGAGTGCCCATGATGAAACACCAGAAACCAAGAGTGTCGAGGAAGGTAAGAAGTCCCCCGACCTCGATACTATTCCAGTCGCCTTGAGCAGCTCACGACTGGAAGACTTCTACTTTTCGGACATGGAAAATGTTCCCCTGTACTTCTCCTTCCACAGTCTGTGGGAATCCTTCCCCGCAACAATGGTCATCTCCAACGGAGGGTTTAACAGGCACACAGTTGGATCGGTGAAGAGGAGGTTCAACCAACTCATTGAGGTTAACTTAGAAATGGATGCCACACTCGACAAATTTTGAGGAGGATCTCACCCCCTTGCATTCTACAGGTAAGAGTTATCGGGAAGGGCCTTGAATTTAAGCATCCCACTACTCGTGAGAGCTCGGATGGCCAACTTTGATGTGCCTTGCATCTTGGTCGACCAAGGAAGTTTGGTGGACATCATGTACGCCCAACTGTTCAACACTTTGTAGCTGAACGAGAGCCACCTAACCCCATACGTGGGTTATAATCTTCAGGGTTTCAAGGGGCCAGTACGAAGCCATGGGGATATGTAGAGCTGATCGTCACATTTGAGAGGGGGATAATGGCCAGAGCTATCAAGACCAAATTCTTGGTGGTAGACTTACCATCTCTCTATCAATGCATCTTTGGGATATGTACTTTGGCTGAACTTATCGCGGTCCCTTCTATCGTTCATCTCAAGATGAAATACCACACCGTCGAGGGCTTGGTTACCACTCTCCATGGGGACATCCAAGAAGTCAGGAGATGCTTCGAAGCTTCTGCCAAGGACCTCAGCTCTATCAACGCCCAACCTCAGATGATAACTGGGGATACACTGCCCTCGAGCTCCGAGAAAGCCAGGCCATTGTCGATGGTTGACACCATTGACCTCGATAGTCGCTTCTCTATGGAGGATCGGGTCGAGCAGAGGAGGAGAGGGAAGGAGCTGATGGTCAAAGACGAATAATTAACCTTCTCTG